TCCCTTACCCCTCTAGGGTCGTGGGCCTGGCCACCTGCTGCCGACAAGATAAATGTGCAGACAAATAACATGGAAATGGACAAGACCTGAAGATGACCCACCCCTACTCCCACATCCCCTGGGCTTGAGTTACTCAACCTGTGCTCTTCACCCCTCAGCTGCTGCTGGGGCTCTGGGAGCAGGCCCTGCCCACCCAAAGCCAAAATCCATATTTCTGCAATACCTGCCTAGGGCCAGATTCTTTCTCTGTGAGGGCTGCCCCCACATCCGGGGCCACAGCCAAAGGACACAGAGAGCTGATCCAGGCTAGTGACCACGGCAGCACCTCTGTTAGGTGTGAATTTGAATATATCCATACTCATGCACTTGCACACACATTCACACAGGAATGCACATATTTGCCACACTTGGACCGGTGCACACACCTACAACTATTCACACATACCTGCGTGTGTGCATACACACTCACACCTGCATACATGCACCTGTGTACATACACGTATGCACATTCCATAGATACACACACACACACACACACACACACAGAAATAAACTTACAGACCTGTAATTATACCCTCTCCTGCCTTTATCCATACCATGCTCACAGTCCTGGGTGCAAGGCCTTATACACCTGTGCACGTGCGCACACCCACACACACACACACACACACACACATCTACCGAAGGGTGGCCTATACCCATGTTCTCTCCAGAGCTGAAGCATTGAGGACAGGCTGTAGACGGACACAGAACCCGTAGAGATGTCAGATTCCTCCAGGACACTTCTTGGATTGTCCCTTTGCAGGGCCCCTAGGATGGTAGAGCCCTGTGGTCTCCGCATCCCAAGCCATACTCTGACTGAGTCATACACACACTCTCTCCTGAGGAGCCTCCCATATTGGGCTCTGGTCCTTGTTCACAGTCCTTGGGTCTGGCATGCCCAGGAAAGCTGATGGTACCCAGCTAGGCCTACCTGGATCCTGTCCCCCTCCACCTGATCTGCCTGAGCCTTCAACGAGAACCAGGCTGGCCTCTACCGTTGCCGAGGAGTCTGAGGCCAGAGAGGGCCAGAAGCTTGCCTAAGGTCACCCAGTATATCAGGGCAGGGCTCAGATTTGGACCTGGGCTTCCAGGAGTATGACCATGGTTGGCAGCAAGAGGATAGATGCGTGTCAGCCACCAGACAGGCTTATGGAAGTAGGACACGTGGGCAGTGAGAGCAGATTTGGGGTCTATCGGGGGTCTGCCAGTGCCACTCTGTCATCTGGAGAGATGGTGAATAGGAAGTCTGCTCTCCCAGTCTGGATGAGGAAGTGCTTTGTGAGCACCGTTGCCCACAGGGGTGTCATTATTATCAGGAACAACAGAGGACCGGTTTCTGGACAGGGCCTGAGGTCTGGTGGGCCTGGTACCCAGGTTGACAGGCTGTCAGCTGAGTCACCTTTTCCTAAAATACCCAGTAGCTGGGCCACTGGGTAGTTACAGCAGGCGGTAAGGTGGGAAGACAAAAAGAAGTGTCTAGAAGGCTGGGCCAGGCATTCCTGGGGCTGGGCTTTCTTGTGGCAGAGATAGGCAGAGGGCTCAGGGACTGGGAGCATGGGTCCCTCAGTCACTGCATTGTTGGGGACAAAAGGAGAGGTGGGAAAATCTGGTTTTTTCACAGGCCTTTCCTCAAGATGTAGAGCATGAATTTAGGGCACAGATTGGAGCCAGATGGTCCGAGTTTGAATTTTGGCTCCATTACTTACTAGCTGTGTGACTTTGGACAAATTACTTGGTCTCTCTGTGCCTCAGTTTTCCATATCTATAAAATGTGGCTAATAATAGATCCAACTTTATACTGTTGTTGAGAAGATTAAATGTGAGGCACATAGTAAGTGCTTGTTAAATGTTAAAGCACCCCGGATACAGAGCCCCCCGGACACAGAGCTGCCCATAGCCCCTCAGCTCCAGATGTACACACTTAGCCTTTTAGCGGCCAGCTGTGACCCTTGATTCCGTGATGTCATCCAGGAACAAGATACATCTAATCCAGGGTTCCCAGCTTAGCAGCAAATTAGAATCACCTGGGAACATTTAAAAATATCTGGGATGGGGGAGTCCCAGGCATGATGAGCAAGGGGGAGAATCAACACAGAATCACAGAATGAAGACCTGGAACACAGGGACATATAGGGGAGTGGAGGAGTCCTAGCCTTGGAGGAAGGGTCACTGGCAAGGAGGATTTGAGCATGGCCTGTCACTTTGGCATCTCGAGGAGCATTGACTGCCTCTTCTGGGAGGGGGCTGGATGGAGAATTTCAAGGGTCACATGGGGGGGATGTTTTTGAAAGAATCTCTGTATCCTGCCAAACATCAAAAGAAAGAAGTTTGTATATTGAATCTAGCGTATTAACATTTCACAGATGGGAAAAATGAGGTCCAGAGATGTTCAGTGGCCTGCTCAGAATCACACAGCAAGTCTATGGCAGAATTAGGATGCAAACCCTCAGAGGAATGGTTGAATCTGAAGGGTCGATGCAGGATGAATCTCTCTGAGTTGAGGGAGAGACAGAGCATGTACCTGGGGCCCCAGCCACTGAACTGCAGTATAATAGATAACCAAGTAAGATGTAAGAAATAACTTACCATGAAGTGAATGCTGTGAAGGTCCTGCCTAGAGCCGAGAGCCCAAGAAGCAGTGGCTATGCCAGGTCAGGGTTGGCTCCTGACTGCCGGGTCTGAGATGGCTTCAGAACAAAGATCTCGCCAATGGCCTTAACAGATACCTCCTGGGTCCACATGTCCCATCCAGGCTATAAAAGCCCAGGACAGACAGGTACTCAGGATTTACCAAGAGATTTGTGCACTGGGCTCAGACTCCGTCCTTAGAATAGCCCTTACATCAGTCACCCCCTTTACAGAGCAGGAAACTGAGGCCAAAAAAGGAAGGGAGGCCCTTTTCTGGGTCAGAACCTTTACACCATCTTAGCCCATGTAGTTTTCTACAGTGTTAAAAAGTAGGCCACATTGCCCCTAATTTGAAGATAAAGTAAAATACATCAACTCGGCCTGGATCACTTAGTGACAGAAAAGCTTCCCAGTCCTCCCTGTGTCCCCAGGCATGACTTCCAGGAAAACATAAGAAGGAGACCCAGAGGACTAAGGTAGTATCAAGGGAAGGTCTCCCAAAGGAGGTGGGCCTCTGGCCCTTGAATGATAAACAGGTGGACGGGATCTGGAGGACATTGGGGAGGGGTGGTGTGGGTAAAGATCTGGAGGTGAGAATGAGTCTGAGTAGAGGAGAAAGTATAAATTTACGAAATGGTGGTGAGAGGGTCAACGCTGGATAAATACATCAGGGCTAAATTATAGAGGGTCTGCCATGCCAGGCTGAGGATTTGGGATCAAAGCCCAAATGTTTGCAGCAGGGAGTCTTTAAAGGTGTCTGAGTAGAGGAAGAAGTACATCCAGAGCCGGGCCTCCAAAACAGGGGTGGGAGAAATCCTGGCTTGGAGGGCCTCCTCCTGAGCTGATGGCACAGCCAGGGCTCTGCCCAGCCTGTGTGCCAGGTGCCTGGACAGTGTCCAGGACTGGGCTCAGTGACTCAAAGTTGAGGAAATCACTCCCCAGGGATAAAGGGTCCGGATGAATCAGCCCAGTGAGGTAGAGAGGCTGGGGGCTCAATGAGTCAAGTCCTCCAAGTGGGGAAGGGGGTTGTTGCAGAGAGAGGGGGGCCAGCAGTGCAGTGGGAAGGATTCAGGTCAGACCACAGCGAGGGCTGTCAGGAGACTCTGGCTGACTTCCCACCATTATGGGGGTTGATTGTCCTGGCAAGTCTTGTAAAAGAGATGGGAAAACTGAGGCCCAGAAAATGGGAGGGGATCTGACCAAGGCCAAGCAGCAAGTCGCAGGCAAAGGCCAGACATGATCCAAAGCGCACCCTCTAGTCCAGACATGTCCTACCACGCCAGCGGATCTCATGCTAAATGAGGCGAGGAACAAGGTGGGTCCAGGCAGGGAGCTGGCCCAGGTGACCCTTCCTCCCTCCGCCGGCCCCCCACTTCCCTCGCCCCGCGGATGGCAAATAGGCCCAGGCTGCGCTGCCCGCAAAAGGACAGCAGGGGGCGTAGAAGCGTCACGGCTGCCGCAGGCGCCTGAGCACAGAGGCCGCTCTGCGGAGAATTGCGCTCCGGACGCGCGGGTCCCACCGCCGAACTGTGGACTGTGTGGCCCTGGGGCCTGCACCTTCTCCGGCTTCCGGGGACGCCAACGCAGACCTGCCTGCCCAGTGCCGGGGGCCCGGCGCCCCTACCCCGCACTCAGGAGTGGTGCGCCTGTCCGTGTGTGCGCTCGTGTGTCCGTGCGCACGTGGCCCCCGCACAGATTGGCTCCTGCCCCAGGCCTGTCCGTCGCTGGGCGACCTCTAAAATTCTCCCCGACTTCCCCGTTTCTCCTGAAGAGGAGTCAGCCCGCGGCTCCTTGCATCAAGTCAGCGGCCCCTTGCTCCCTATCCCCCGCCTCCCCGCCCCTCCCATCGCTGCGCTGGTCTCCGGCTTGGAGCTCTGGCCCGGCCCCAGGACTTTATAAACGGGGTAGAGGATGTGATCTGGCAAGAGAGGGGTTCTGAGAGGCAAGGTAGCGACAGTAGGGGTGAAGGGCCAGAGGAGGAAGCGGAGGCTGAGAACCGGCTACCTGGTGGGTGATCCTAATAGCGGACAAGCTGGAAGAGTCTTGAGAGAAGGGAGGTGAGAGCTGGGGAGGGGGGCGCCCGGGGGTTCGCAGGTCAGACTAGCGGAGAGGTGTAGCCCGCCGTGGCGGGAGGGTAGGCGGGGCTGCGCGGTCGGGGGCGGGGAGTGGGCGGGCCGGGGCGGGGCCGGGGCGGACCCTCGCGCGGACCCGGCGGAGCTGTCGCGGACGCGCTGACCGAGCGCAGTGGCCGGGCCGGCGGGCGGGCGGGCGGCTGCGAGCATGGTCCTGGTGTTGCACCACATCCTCATCGCTGTTGTCCAATTCCTCAGGCGGGGCCAGCAGGTCTTCCTCAAGCCGGACGAGCCGCCGCCGCCGCAGCCATGCGCCGACAGCCTGCAGGTAGGGGGGCCCCCAGTGCTGGGCAAGAGGACCGGGCGTCGGGCGAGCGCCCGGCTGGGTCCTCCACGGAGAGTGCAGGCGCCGGCTCCGTGGTCCACTCTGCCCCTGAACCCTCCTCAAGGTGGGGCCCCCTCCCCTAGTTCTGAATTCCAGTCCTGTCCTGGGACTGCAGCCCATACCTAGAGCCCTTAAATCCCCAGCTCACAGTCGAAACCTCACCCCAGACCCCTTTCGGATCCGGGACTCCACTCCAAGCACGGAACTCCAGGTCCACAGTAGGGCCCCAGTCCCCACTGAGAGCTCTTTAAACTGGAACCCCTTGCCTTCCAGATCAGGTGATGACCCCTGCCCAAATCCCCCGAACACCCACTATATATTTCAGACTCTGGGTACACCCATAACACCTGAACCCCCAGCTGTCAGCCAGGACCTACCTCAGTGCTGAAGCCACATCCCAGCCCCTGAACCTCTACTCCACAGCTTCATCTGTGCCCCCACCCAAATTCCCACTCAAACATCTGGACTTTGGTCCTCACCTGGGACCCTACCCCAGGATCCAAGAGCAGCTTTTCCTCATAGCTTGTCTCCTTTTCTGCAGGACCCCCTCCCACCTGCTTCCTGCTTTCCTTTCCTCCCTCACTCCTGTATAGGAGGTCCCCTAGTCTTTTAGGGGTCTCACCCTCTCCTCTTGTTTCTTTCCAGGTGTGGTGGTCCCACTTTATTCTCTGGTTTCTCCCCTGGCTTCTCTGAGTCTTTCTGGGCCTCCTCTCTCTCTGCCCCTCCATGTCTCTCTTTTGGTCCCTTTTGCCATGTTCACCTCTCCCAGTCTGTCCCCCTGTTCAGACTGGGCCCCCTATTGCCCCCCCCCATTTCTTTAGGTCTCTCTCTTTGTTCTAGGGTCTCACTCTGTGATCATCCCCTCCTCTTATATCTGCCTCTGCTTTCCAGTGAGGAAGGGGCAGGCTCAGAGTGCTGGGCTGGTGTCCGCAGGACCTCCACCTGCCCCATGTTGTCAGGCATGGCATGGTGTGGGCGCTGATAGAAGGGACTAAACATGGAGGGCACAGCCCTTGGGCGGTGCCCAGGGATCTAAGGTAGATGGGGATTGTGCAGTGCCACTGGGGTTCATAACTTGTAAACCCCCCATCCCCACTGTCCTGGTCTTGACTGGGGGCAGCTGGGGGTGTGGGATGGGGGAGAGGAGAATAGACTGCAATCTGGTGTCAGTTACCTGTGGTGGGAGGGTTCCAAGGCTGGGTATATGTGTTTGTGTAGGATAGGCCACATTGCATGTTGGGTGTGCCTTGTGTGTGATCATGTGTGATGTGTCATGTAATGTGTGTGGCACCACCAGGGGGATTATTTGGGGGATTTGTGAGGGCTTATGGTGATTGTGAAGATTGTGGGTGTATGTCGTTGCATGCCATGTGCGGCTAGGAAGGCTGTGCTGTGAGTGTGGAGTGGTTGCTGTATGCATCAGTGTTGTATGTGTAGGGGACACATGTGTATGTGGTGTGTCTGTCTCTGTGGGGTGGAGTTGTTGTAGGGGCAGCCCGCACGGGGGATTGTGTGTGTGGTTGCGTATGTTATCGGCTGTTATGTGTAGCCCGGAAGAGCCACTGTGGGGGCCTGATGAAGGGTTTCATTGGACGTAGTGGTGGAGGCGAGTGGGCGCAGGGGAGCTGTGTGTGCCCGAGTGTGCTTGCGGCCTCAGTGGCTTAGACTTGCTGTGGTACATCCTGGGCTTCCTTGGGAAATGTTAGGACCTGTGCGTTGGTGTTTGAGTGTCATGGATGTTTTTGCAACTCTGGGTAGGGGAGAGTGCAGCCACCGGGGCCAAGGAGTCCCAGGCAAGGGGCTGGTTGACTAAGTGTGTACATGTGTGTGTGTGCCCACGTGCACTCAGTGGGAGGAGGCAACATGCAGGCAGGATTGTCTATGCTGAAGGGCTGTGTGTGGCTACAAATGTGTGACAATAGGTGTGCACATTATCTATGCCGGGTGTGTCTTGTCTAGATAGTGTGTGTGTTGAATTTAATTGGCGGTGTGTGTGTGTGTGTGCCTGTGGTTGGGGAGGTGAGTGCAGGGTGCATGAGGTACATGGTGGGAGGTGCGTGTGTGGTGTGAAGTGTGGGTGTGTGAGCTGTGTGACTTTTCAGTGTGATGCGTGGATTATGTGATCTTTTCTCCCTGTGAGCTGTTTACGTGCGGTGTGCGGTGAGGAGTGTGGAAAGGGTGTCCAGTGAGTTAGTGATGTGTGTGAGGGGTGAAACAGCGTTAAGGGCCGTGGAATGTGCTGCAGGGGGTAAGGAAGTGTGTGCATACGGTGCATGGGGCCGGCCATGTTTAGGGTGTGGGGTGTACAGCAGGTGTCCCATAAATGTTTGTGGAAGGATATGTGTGTGCAGGGAGGGCTTGGCTGCCATCTTGTCCTTGCTTCCCTCTCAGTTAAGTCCCCAGAGATGCCCAGTGACTTTCTCTCATGGCCCACCCCAAGCTAAGCTGCCTCTACCCTTTGCCCTTCATCCTCCTCAGTTTGACCAAGGCCTTTGTCTTGGGTTTCCGGCAGAGCAGGCGCTGGACAGGCAGGCAGCGGGTGATGTCGTGGTCTGGGAACCTTTGTTCTTTTCCTCTCAGTCTGTGTCGTGTTTTGGGCTGGGATTTGGAGGAGGGCGGGGAGAGGATGCACGTGTTGTAGGGTCACTGTGTTTACTACCACCTCACAATGCTCCCCAGCGGGGAGGGGTGTGAACACAGCCCATGAGGCCTGGGTGGTATCCCCAGTGGTGCCTTCTTGGCTCAAGAGTGGGCTTGGGTCAGGCATGAGGGCTTAGTCCCATGGGTGGTCCCGTGCCCCTTCTGGCTCATGTGTCTCCAGGATGCTGAGAAGCCAGGCGCCCTCTTCTGCATGCCAGCCTGTCCCTCTTCCCTCTTCTGTGTGGCCCTCAGGGAGTGTCCCTCCTGGGCTGGGGGTCAACCAGGAAGACCTCAATCTGTCTCCTTTTGTTGACCTCACATCTGATAGGAGGAAGAGTCCCTGTCTTCACAGAGACACTTATCTGAGAAAGGAAGCCTGGTCATACTTTGGAGACCCTCTAGTCTAATAGGGGAGATGCCAGTCAGGAAGAGGACCCAGGCCACACCCTCCAGAGGAAGCGATGGGGAAACCTTAGTGGGCAGCCTGCTGACAGGTATTTGGGAGCGTGAAAGGCCAGGGCTCCTGACAGTTGGAGGGCACAGAGACTACCAGAGTCAGTTTGAGGAGGTAGCTGCAGGCAGTACCTCAGCATCGCCTTCCAAAAGGCTCTCTGTGGTGAGTGGGCTTAATAAGCTGGGCCCTGACAACGGGGGTGTTGAGTAGGCAGAGAAATGTGGCCTGGGGCCGAGGAATATTCTCAACTGGAAAATTCAGCTGAAAAAACAGGTCTTGACGGCATCTGATCCTTCTCAAGCAATACTGTCTAGTCTTGGATGGCCATCCCTGGGCCTCCAGTCTTCTCAAACTTTCACGTCACCTCTTCCCATCCCCTTGTCTTTGGCCAGAATGATCATCATCGTTGTCATCATCTTTTAGGTAGCTCTTTCCAGATTCCAACCTCCTTTCACAGAAGTCTCATTTAACAGATCGACTCATTCGCTTCTCTAAAGCATTTACTGTGCACCTGCTATGCACCAGGCAGGCACTAAAGTGCTGGGGTCACAGCAGTGGCCAGACAGGCTTCCTGGGGCTCCCACATCCTGTGTCTGAGAAAACCCATCTTCCCAGCCTGGCCACACTGTCAGCCCCCCTAGGCCCGGGGCACATGACCCTCCCTCCTGTGTTACTCCGGCCTGATGTCCACTTGGTTCTATGAGGCTCCAGGTGTGCATCCTATGGTGGGCTCTGGCTCCCACCAGAATGCAAGCTCCTCAGGAACTGGGCCAGGTCTGCCCATCCCACGTGTCCTGAGCTGGGCTAGGCACAGTCCAGATGGCCACATTGATCATCAGATGTCCATATACCCTTGGGGGGTTGGCAGTCCCTGTTCTGTCTAGAGAAACTGAGGCCCAGAGCAGGGAGGGGATTTTAGGCAGCCTCCTTCTCAGACCCTCCTATTACCAGTGTTCCCAGACACCAGAGAGGTCAGGTGACTTGTCCAGGTTTCACAGCAAGGTGACAGGACCCAACAATTCTCTCTTTCCCAGAAAGCAGCTCTACTGGTCAGCAGGCTGGACTCCAGCCCCAGCACCATGCTGCTCCCTGGCTGGCCTCCGTGCCGCCTGTGGCGGGTGAACGATTATTAATGGCCCCCCTGGCAAGGAGACAGGAAACGTTTCCCAGCCACAGCTGGGGACATTCTCCCTGCCAGCCCCAGCCAGCCATGCCCACCCTGGCCCTGGTGTCAGCACGGATGTTATCTCCATTCTGCCCCGGCCTTCCTCGCTCCTCCTGCCCATCCGCCCCCTGCATCCTTTTCCTCTCAGGGTCAAAGGACAAGAAGAGACAGAGCTTTATGTTCCACATCTCTGTCCCACCACTTTCTCCAACTTGATTCATTTCCACCTTCTTCCCTGTCCCAGACCAGCCAGAAGCAGCCTCCTGCTGGAAGCCTTCTCTGAATGCACTGTTAGGCCCTCCAGCATCCCTGGCCTGGGCCATGGCCACTGAATTGCCCTCCCTACAGACTTTGCTCCCACTCTGATGACCCTAAGTCTGGGCTGGGGACTTCCTGTGGCCTGTCCTCAATTGCTGTCTTAAGACTGACACTTGAAAAGGTCACTTGAGTGGCTCAGTCGGCTAAACTTCCAACTTAGGCTCAGGTCATGATCTCATGGTCCATGAGTTCGAGCCCCGTGTCGGGCAATGCGCTGACAGCTCAGAGCCTGGAGTCTGCTTCAGATTCCTTGTCTCCCTCTCTGTCTGCTCCTCCCCTGCTCGTGTTCTGTCTCTCTGTCTCTAGAAAATGAGTAAACGTTAAAAAATTAAAAAAAAAAAAAAAAACACCAAAAAGACTGACACT